AGCCAAATGCGAGTTTTTGAATCCCGGGGCTAGTATTAAGGACAGGTCATCCCTATCAATGATTAAAAGAGCCCTCAAAAGTGGAAAACTAAAGCCCGGCGGACCTATCGTTGAGATGACGAGTGGTAATCAGGGCTGTGGTCTGGCAGTCGTGTCCGCCGTATTGGGACATCCGTTGACTTTGACGATGTCTGCGGGCAATAGTCCTCAAAGGGCTTCAATGATGAGAGCACTCGGAGCTAATGTAGTACTGGCCCCACAAGTGGAGGGAAAGCCGGGAAACGTGACTCTAGCCGATGCATTGGAAGCTGAAAGTCTGGCATTAAAGCTGGTGGAAGATACCGGTGCCTATTATGTCAACCAATTCAATAACGACGACAACTCTAAGGCTCACGAGGAGACCACTGGACCCGAGATATGGCGCCAAACGGGCGGCAGAATTGACGCCTTTCTGGCGACTGTGGGAACGGCCGGTACTTTCGCCGGTGTCTCGCGTTATCTCAAGAAACAAAACAAAGACATCGTTTGCGTTGTTGTGGAACCGGCCGGCGCTGAGGCTATCAAAGGAGAACCGGTAACCAAACCCTTACACATATTGCAGGGATCGGGATATGGTATGGTTCCCCAACTTTTTAAATTTGACACAATGGACAGCACGATAGGTGTGAGCGATGAGGAGGCCGTCCACTACAAGGAGTTGTTGGGATCTAAAGAGGGTCTCTATTTGGGCTATACGTCCGGTGCTAATGTGGCCGCAGCTACCAAACTGCTACAGTCGGGAAAACTACCTAATGATGCCTGGGTGGTTACAGTGCTAGTTGATACTGGTCTTAAATACCCTGATAATTACTTAATGCGTTCAAAACTTTAGAAATACAAATTCTTAAATAAATAAAATTTACTATAAATAATGTATAAATTAAATATATGTGACAGTAATGTATAACATTGCTGTATCCATGCGTATATCATTAAAAATTAAATGTCACTTGTTTATCAATCTGGTACATTTTTAATAAACACTTGACATGACTATGATAATAAATAATACGCACATAAGATGTCTATGAAATTAATGTATTAAATATTTAAATAAATAATTAAAAATAATTTTAGTATAAGTTTGTACTCTTACTAGTTATAGCTTAATGTTTTTATTGTTTTTTAAAAGTCTAAATAAAAAACAAATTTTTTATATAATTTAATTATTAATAATATATTTATTGAAGTAATAATATATTAAAACTTATTTAATGACAATATTGTTTTCAAAATTAATAGAAATACAAATTATTGTCTCTATAATTTGGTTATAAAGATTAATGGTATTCTTCATATACTTAATAATAATATAAGGTAGGTGTTAAATAAATTATATTATATACTGTGTATTATACATTTTATTACTATAAGAATAAATTAATTTTGTGTGTATATAGTTAAATAGTGTCATTATTTTTATTATTATAAGATATCAATTTCAATATTTCTTAATTATACTAATAAGATACTATTATAAGAATATTCTATTTTATATTATATTATATATATCAAAGATCATCATTGTATTGACCGTTATAATATTATTATTATATAGTTTTTTCAATATTGAAGTATTGTTTCCAGTGATAAAAGTAAGTTAAAGAATTTAAAATGCCATATATTTTATCTCAAAATGATAATACTCAAACAAAAATAAATAGACTTCATAAAGTTGAGTTCAATTTTAAAAACTATTTATTTGATTACTTTTACAAACACTTAAGACTACGATTAAATCACAATTACGGCAACTGTTTTGTGTTTGATATTATTTTATCTCTTTGCGTCATTATGAATATCATCAAGTACCTAACCCTATTGCGCTTTAAGTTCAGCATTGAGACCAGGCTCATTTTGTTTGATTGGTCTCTCATTACGGGAGGCAACGAAATATTTCAACATTTAGCGGTCACTCCGGGCCTTATATGTCAAACATATTTTCAGTACTTATTTTACATTAACTCTGATAAACAAATTTATCGTTGGATTAAAGTATTTGAAGTCATTCAGGGAGTTAGAGATCCACACGATTTGTGTTTCAATAAATCTCATATTAATATCATTTTAAAAATCCAAGTGAAAACTAAACATGTATTCATTGCTCTCAAATATTTTCATATAACATTCGGTAAGTTATAAGTTATAACATAATATAATTTAATTTCAACTATACATGCACGTTTTCCATAGTAATAACAAGTATATTTGGATTCATTGGTCTAATCATTGAATATTATTCTATAAAACAATTTTTGGTGTCCTTTGTATTCATATTTTCTTTATTCATGTGCTTTCATTCATATATGTTCAATAGTCTCATATCAATGGCTTATTTCTATTTGATTTGCTATTATTTCGTATTAAGATCTAAGCACTTAATACAATCTATACACAAATTGAGTGAATCTACATTATTTAGTAAACATAACTGTTTCAAAAATATATCCAATGAACACAACAATTTGTGTCAAAATTTATATATTTATAACAATTTTTGGGAAAGATTTTATTTCTGTGTAATTGTTACGTCGATTCCCATAAATTTGTTTGCATTTGTGTTAATTTTATTTTATGACCTACGAGTATATGTCAAAATATTATACTCATTCGGATTAATATTGCTCTGGGCACTTATATTTTTCTTATCATACAATGCATCACTTGTGTCCAAAACTATTAGATTGTCATCAAATAAATTAATTTCAATGCAATTTAAGATTCATAGAAATATAAACACAAAGTTAAAACTTTTAGCATTCATTGAGAAACTCCATAAAAATAGGAAACCGTTTGGATTTTCTGTGGGCCCACTGTTTGTAATGACATTTCCCAGATTATTATTTGTAAGTATTCTGTAATAACAAAATA